TATGTACATGAATAATATTCATTGAATATGCATCCTCTTTATTATCATAAGTGAAACGAGCAAAAGAATAATTTATATTGATTTTATATTCTTAATCATACTATGTTTTTCATAGTTGACAATTTTACTCAAGATCTAAAGAATATTATTATTTACTATAAATAACTGACCCGAAAGACGTCTTAATTATGAATAAAAATAAATAAAAATTAAAAAAAATATTTAAAAAGAAGTATTTATTATTCTAATGCTTTATGATGTACAACATCCTTAGTTTTTTTCTTGTGCATATATAAATAGTTTTGTTGGTATTCCGACACGGGAACAGGCGACATATAACTGGCCATGTTAAAAATATGGATTTTCAAGATTGACGCCACAAACACTTAGCGACTGACCCTTGAGATTTATTTATCGACATTGCAAATGTTAGTCGCATTGAAAATTGCAACCGTTTAAAGTCGAATGGCATGTCGTTCGGAATCAAAGGAATCCGTGGAATCAAAACGTGTTGGCCTTTGTATTTTCCTTTCGAAATTGTGGCTTCGATGACGTTGTTCATTAATTTCTTTAAGTCCGGGTGCCATTACAAAGACGTGGCTGGTTTATATTCCGCAACATAATGATTACCGATCCGATTTTTAATTGCGGATTATTAGGTGGTAATCCAGGTAATTCCAGCGAATTTAAAAAATCCGTTGAATAGTTGACAACATCATCCTTGTTAGTAACGGAATCAATCGATTTGCATGTCATTAATTCACCAGCTATTTTATTTTGAATCTGAAAATTCATTTCGTTGACATCAACGTTTTTTGCAGTCAATATAATTCTTTCGCTCAATCATACATGATCTTTGTAATTCTGAGCAATGTTTGGGAAAACCTTCTCGGTGAGTTCGGTCTTAATTTCAGAATAGTGACAAAATTGGTAGGAAATCCGATGTATCCAAGTGTTTAAATTAGTAAATCAAGTATTTTCTATGGTATCGATAGTATTACCCAGTAGCGGTTGTAATTTTATTTGTAAATTGTAATTATATTTAACTTTTGTTCGTTATCGCCTAATTATTTATTCTTTAATGAATAATTCATTATGTCCACATCAATTCTGTTACAAAGAAATTTATAAATGTACTATTTAGGTTATTTTAACGTGATTAATTATTATTACTACTAGTTACTCATGGAATATATAATTCATTAATTTCTATTTACTGAATATTTGATTTGATTACCTTATATTTAGGTGTACTCTGGGATTTGGCTCGCTTTATTCAATCAAGTTATTTGTTAAAACCAGTTTCAAAATTCCTATGAATAATAGACATTTTTTAAAAACCGCGAAAAATTGACAAATTCTGGTCAAAGTAAATTTTTTTCATAAGTTAATTATTAGAAAACTTATTGTTATCGATCAATATAATCTATATATGTATAAGTTTTTCAATTAATATTATTGTGCGTAGCGATTATAATTATGGTATGAACATGGAATTTTATTTTCCTCCGATTTGAGTTTTTCTAATATTTTGTTTTTAAGTTTTCGGAATAATGTATCTATTTTTATAATTATGTTGAAAAATATATTTACATAAAATTTAATCATAATACTGGAATTTAAAGATGTCATATAATGTTATAGTCGTATTAATTCTTATTCATCTTTATCTTCATTAATAATATCAGAAAAGTATCTTATTTTTATTTAGTTTTTGCTCTTGTTATTGTTATTGTCGTTTATTTTTTCGAAACTATGAAAAACTAACCACTGAACAGGTTCATGTTGTTATGACTTTGTTGATATTTTCAACGTGTATTCGTTGTTTTAAGGGTTTGTCTTAAGTATATTTCTTATTTTTCAATGTCCTATTGTCATTGTTCTTATGACCACGGTGTGAAGGAGTCCCGTTGTATTTGAAAGGTGGTACTGTCATGTAAACATATGTCGGTACGCGTTTTATTTCTGTAAGATCTTAAATTTATACGAAAGAAAAAATATTGAAACTTCAATTCATATAAGCTTTACCAAATGCAATTACTGTCGTGAAGAGCAGTAGGTATTAAATGTTGTTAACATCGGATTTACATTCATATAAATTTCATATCGCGAACGAGTATATGCGTTATAAGTATGTCTTGGTAGATGGATGAATAGAGTGAGGGATTTAGTTTTATGATCATAATTAAAAGTTTCAGAAAGGTCGGTGCAGGAAGAAAAAAAAATGTCATTCATATTATACTCACGAATAACTGGGTTGGACCGTGCGGTATATGTGCGGTGAAGTTATCGTGGTCATGGTGATTGACCGTCAAATCTCTCTTTTTTTCTCTTTCTTTCGTACACACACATACACACAGCGCCGGACAATGTTATTATTATTAAACAATCGTTTGGCATTCGGCTCGTCGTCAGTATATTTTTCCTGCCAATAGTCAACCGTTGTGCCACAAAGATTGATAGAATGCTTAATCAAAAGATATAGAGGGTCAGACTAGAGTTAGATAGATTTGAAAAAATATAATAATACGGAACGCGTCTTGAATGCATTCTCTTCAATCTTTTCTGAACGTATCCTTGTTAAAGACCCTTGTTATACAATGTATTTTCGTTTGGCGTCACAAGTTTTAAAAAGTCACAAATTAACTTATTTTCTTAATCTAATAAATTTTAACATTTATTATTTTATTTTTTTATTGCAATAAAGAAGATATTTTTATTTTCGCAAGATAATTATGCTTAAGTATGCATAGGTCTTTCGACAGGTAACCGAAGGTGGAATTGAAGTATTTATTTTATCAATAACGCGTTTAATTTAGTCCGTTGGATCTATAGAATTCAAGGTATTTATTATTAGAACACTAAAATGGGTTCCACCAAGAACTCATATAGATGACGATGATCAGTGGCATCAAACCCTATTGCTAGGTGTTAATAATAATAACGATAATATTGTATTATTATGTATATTGTGTTATTGTGTTATTATTTATATAATACCTATTTTATTAACAAAAAAAAATTATTTAAATGTTCAGTTTTTTGCAGGTAGGTGGGTATAATAATATCTAGTAACACCTGAAAAATACTTCTTTGGCGTCACTGACGATGATTATTCTCTATTAATTATAAAGTTATTATCTTTATTGTACACGATTGTTATTGGTAAAACCATTATATAGATTACTAGCTAAACCTAACCTAACGTAAGCTTGTCTGGTCCGGGAAATATTTTATTATTATAGGTTACAATATTATTGATTATTTCGGTGTAAGAAAAATGTTTATGATGAAAATAATCGTCTTATAATATTTTTTTTGACAACAATGTTTTTTTTTTTTTTTAATGAAGTTACATATACCTCATTTAGTTATTAATAGAGCTCGGATTTATATTCTCTTAAAGTCCTTAAAATATGATGTTTTAATGTCGTTTAATAAAGGCAATATATCTTATAATATGTTTTATGTCCTTAAAATTAATTTTTCAATATTCTGTAAAAGAAAAAAAATATTTTATAATTACTTCGCTTAAATTTATCATTTATTAAGTGTTATTATTGATTTGATATATAATAATATTTTGAAAAAAAATTAGTTTTAATGCCCATTTTAACGGTACGTGGACTACCCCTAATATTTAGTGATTCATTTTTATAACAACCTAAAAAGATATAAATATAACTCACATTGTTAATATTGTATTTTTGATTAATATTATTAAAATGTCAATGTACGTAATATGTACATGGACGTGCAGACAAATAATAAGTAATATAATGATAAATCATTTTCTTCGAAAAAATTTTACGAAACTAAAGATGTTTATTAAATATTCTCAAATATTCTCAAACGTAATGAATATTTTCTAATCACTAAGATATGTTTTTCTATACAAAGTAAATTTTTTGTTGTGAATTCTGTGTTTCACGAATCGTAAAGATATCTCATTCCCATTTAACTGCATGGACTAGAAACAAATATGTAAAATCATAAAAATCCGATCTCTAGTTATTTATATATATATTTTACAAAATATAATATTTATTGGGTGATTAAAAAATGAACAATTTTATTCATCTGTCAAGCTTAAAATCCAAAAATAATTTCACCTTATAAAATGCGATTTTCGAAGAATCCCATTTTAGTGCACCTCTAAGTACTCAGTGATAATAATTATTATTATACTCCCTCAAATGTTTTTTGTATATACGTTTATCAGTGAGTGCTATTCGAATACATAATTGCATCAGAAGTAAAAATATTTGACGCCCAGCGAAGTGTCAGCTAGTGTACACATACATGTATAAAAGTAGTATAGATGTGTAGTGAGGAATCGCTATTAGTCATTATTACTACGGTATAAACGTTCGTCAAAATTCATGGGCGCCTTTTCAATCGTGAACATTTGACGAATTGATTATTTTTACGAATCTTTTAAGATTATTAGAGTCGAATACGAATATTAGAGTCCTGGAGTCGTAATAAACGAAATAGCTCTGAAAATCAAAAAAAAAAAAAAAAAAATTGTTAAAACTCAAAGTAAACGATCGTGTAATTTTGACCGGTTCGACATGTTCAAAATTAAATCCCAAAATCTTCTCCGTTATCATTAAAATATTTACAACACTGACGATTTGTTGGAGTGATTAATTCTTGTTGCTCTGTACGTGGTATACGTATCGTCTATGATACGGAAAGACATTTCGATCCGAGTACCGTTCGACCACGCGATGGACGGGCTGACCGTAAAAGGTAGAGCGTGTTCCCAGAGGGCCGTCCGGAACGGACCGGGTTTCTCGCGTCTGTGGGCCTCTCGTACACGTGTCACGAAAAAAGTTTCCGGCGTTCCCCCGCGCAAGACGTGTTTGGTCCGGTTGAATCGCGTTGGAATATTGGAACGTAGCCCGCAAGCGCGCCGCCGGAAAGCCGAGCCGTTCTGCCCGTCAAGACGCGGGTGCGTCGCGCGCACAGGAGCGCGCGCGCCACGAGCGAGCGCATAGTGACACTCGAAACCGTATAGTCGTGTGTCGCGCACGCCGTGCCGCTATCAGTCGTCGCCGCCGTCGCGCGTGCAGGGCGTTTACGCAGGTGCGGCAGCCAGACGTGTTTTTTGGACACACGGTGCGCGCGCGTTCACGGCGTTGTTTTTCAGTGGTAAAACGCGCGCCTCGCCGACCGCAACCGACAGCAGTAGCAGCAACGGGCCCCAAACGGGTAACGGCAACGTGCAACGGGTAACGGCTACGGCCAGAGCACAACAGTAGTAGTCGCGTGTCCGAGAGCGCTCGTCCGCGTGCGTTCTGTGTTGTGCATCGTGTGCGCATACCGGTGTGCATTACGTCTACACAACGTCGGTTCGTCCGCGTTTTCCGGTATTTTTTTAATTTTCAATTTTCCCGTTCGCCCCGCGGTAGCGCAGTATCTTCGTCGGGACGCGCAGTACCGCTCTCGTGTTCCGTATTCACCGAATCCCCCCCCTCCCCCGCAGTCGTACGCGATCCAGGGGCTGCACCTCCGGGCCCCCGCGCAAGTTTTCCCGCGTGAACAGCGGAACACACGTTCGGGACCGCGCGCCAAGATATGACGGACCACGTCGTCCGGCCGCGACAACGGACCGCGACGTGATCGGCAGACGACCGCTTCATGTCGGACGTCCGACCGCACCGACGGAGCACGTGGATGATTTGTAAGTGACCGGATGTGCTCTATTATCGCGCGGGACGCGACGTTGTCCCATGCGTATTGTTTATATCTGTTATTATCAATATTTTTATTGTCGTCGCCGCACCGTTGTCCGAACTCGACGAACTTAGCAGTGCGGTGAAACTCTTGCGTATCGTCCATTCGGTTTTGATTTTTTATATTTTTTGCGTTTTTTTCCCCTACGTAAACGTGTTCCGGGACAACACTACTATTATTCGAAAAGTGGCGTGTTTTCGGGGGGAGGGGGTTCCATGAGAAAAAAAATTAAAGTTAAATAGTAATAAATTACTTGCTACGGAGGTGCACTAAGAGGGAACATACATTTATGTCATATGGTCGTAAATAACTCTTGATTTGTATTCATTATATTGATAGAATAATATAATTATTAATTCATACCCTATATACATTTTTTATAGTATTAAAAAATCGTTTATTTTTTTAGAAACATTTAAACCCCTCTTTCACTAGAAAATCTGAAAATATGCCACCGCATACACATGTATAGCACTGTGCAGGAACTCAAGTCAAATGTAACCAGTGTTTACGACGCACGTAATGGTATTAGATTTTAATGGCCACTGAACGTAGTTTTTCTCCACTCACTACTGTACAAATTCGGTGTTCGGAAAATTAATTGATTCGTAATTGTTTACCAAATAAATGTTAAACTCTAAAATATAATAACATTAATGGAGTTTTAGGTTTTGGGTTTGGTAGGGTGTTTTAGTGAATACTTAATGTCACGTATTTCATAGTTTTTTTTATAATTTTTTTTTTTATTTATTTATTTTTATAAAAAAAACTTGAGATGCATAAAATTATTCTTTAAACCATTAGTTTTTATTATTACTTATTATTATTACTTTCTATTCAAAAATAGTTTAAATTTGGTAATTTCATATATTTTTTTGTAATTTATAGAGTTTAATTGTATTAAACCTATTTAGTTTTTTTTTTCAATGCTTTCAACAGTTGTAATAGTTCCAACGCCACGTAAAAATGCTATAATCGAATTAATAGGTACGAGTATTACAGCAAACTTGTACACAACAGTTTACCATTGTACTCCATAAGACATTTGGATAGTAAGAGAACATCCAAGGGAGTAATTATAGAGCTTTTATAGTTTTTCTTATGTATAGTTAATAAATCTATACATTTTTTCCCAAAACGAGTTTTATTAAATATTCCAATGTTCAGTTTTCGGCGTATCTATTAAGTTTAATGTATTTACATCTCGGTTATAGTAATTTACTATGTATGGTTTTGTATTTATTTAATTTTTTCCTTTTACATTATAAAACGTGTTATTTGCACATCGCTATTATGATCTATACGAGTATTTACTCATAATATGGATGGGCCTCAGGAGCACATATGATGTTCATTGTGATATAAATCGATTTTACGCAGTCTATCGAAAATAAAAAATGAAACGCAACCAACCCTTAACTACTTCTTATTTCCTTTGGCCACGGTGGAAATCATTATCCATATCCGCACTTCCGCAGACCTTTGTATGGAATGTCATTATTTACGAAAATATGAATTGATCGTAAAAATAACATTCTCATAGTGTACAGTATAAAGCATTTGAATTGCAACAAAAAATGTACTAACACGGTAAACACAGTAAAAAACATAAATTACGTCACGTGGAGAACAACGAACGACCAAATAAAACAATAACAAAAAACGAGTAGCCAGACTAAAGTCATCTCCGCGATGCATTTTATTGTAAGTATGTATTATTGTTTAATATACCTGATATTTGTTGGTCATTGATGATTACTATTTTTATCCACCGTACAATTTATTGTAACAATTAATATTTAACAGATTTTTTTTTTTGCTTATTTTTGTTACGAAATGATCCGTATGATATTTCTTTTTAAGAATCATTAATTCAATACAGGATAATTTTTGTTTTTCAAATGGTTTTTGATGCATTGCTTATAGATTTAGCAGTAAACCTGCAATACAATTTATATTATGGGGTGAAGTAAGGTATTTTCGTGACATAGGCAATTTTGTGATATAATTTATTGAACGTATAATGTAATTCCTTATTACGCAATTGACTTGAAAATTAAATTGATTCTGGAAAACAGTCATTTTCTTGGGTACACTATTCATTCATTACAGATTATACTTTCAATTACTATTTAAAATTGTACTAAATGACTTATGATATACGAATGTATATTTTTATTTATGACGTGACCTTGAAATGTATAAATAAAGTCATATGTGCAAGAGCTTAAAAAAACAATTTACAATAAGCTGTAATAACGTGAGAGTAATTAATAATTGTTATAATATTACCTTTTATTTATGTTATGTTAAAGATATACTGGAATTTAATTGAAATAAAACAAAAAATATATAAAATTTATCTAATGTTTAGTAAATATTTTTGTGCGAAGCACAAGTCTAATGAATACTTTTTTCGTTCTTGATGAGCTATGTATATGAAATAAACTAAGAATAAATTATATTAACGCACAATTATCTATTTAATATGTTAGGAAGACGAATTTTGAATCACGTTAATTAAATTTAAGTAATTTTGGTTAATGTTTTCAAAGATACATTGCATTGGGTTGGTCGATTACACTGAAATACTATGAATAATAGTTTCGGTTTAGGTACACTCGTTTTTAACAAAATATATTTTTTTATATGATTCATGTCCCTTGAGTATTTTGTTATTTTGATATGTAAATCATTCAATTATAGCCATTAAAATATACATATTATGTAGATTTTTGATTTATTGATTTTTCATATTGGTATTATATTCTTATTCATTATTGTAAAAATCACAAAGGTCAATTATCTACGGGATTAAAGTACAGTACCTATCTAACCTTAGTAAACATTTTGATGTTTTTATTAATTATCTTAACTACATTAAGTTGTATAGAAAGCTTTCTAAAATGTAAACATAAAAAAAATGAATGAAGGTTACTGCGTTGACTGTAGAGCTGTACTCGTTTCTAACCCGTTTTCCATTTAATCGCATCATTTGTTTGTAACGATGTTGCAGTTCTTATTTTAGTTACTTCCTTATAAAATACTACAGTTGTATTATTAGATAGGAATATTTAGAATAAAGATAGAAAAATTATTTTAATTCTGTCAAATTTAATTAAAATATTTAATATATAAACAGTACGACTGATAAACTAGGTTATAATTGTTCATATTATTATTCACTGAGGTCGTTGTTTCAAATTGTACATCATTATATATAATCAGTATACTATGTAGTACATTTTATTACTGTGTACTTAATTATCGAACAAATTGCACATACACAATAATTTACTATTGTGTTACAAAAATATTGCGAGTATGTTTAAAAATATGTTTCGCATACGGTTTTACCTACATTGAGGCGTTTTAAGAATGTCGTAATATAATAAAACTATTTGTTTTCTGTGAATTTGAATAAGAAATAATAATTCAATCAACAACAGTGTAAGTTTTTTGAGACCCCATAGCAACAGTTCAAGTTTTTCAAGATACCATAATAACAGTATTCCTGCTAAGAACAATTATTTTATTTGTACCCCAGTAAAATTTGTTGTTACAAAATTCTACTAAATTAAGTCACACTATTCATAATAATTAATTAATTAATTAATAATTATACTTAAAATAATGTCGGTTTTAATAAATTATCATTGGGTTTTAAATAAAATTATACTAATTTATGTATACGTGCCATACTAGATGTCAATACATAATCTAGTGTTGAATGCTCAAATTTTTTTTAGTTGGATTAAAATATTTTAGTTTTAATGTAGCTAAAATAATTAATAACAATGTAATTTATATTCTAAAAGTTACTGTTATTTTTTCTATTTTATTTTTTGCTTTCTAGTATATATAAAGAATAATTTAATTTAATTTTTAATGAACGATATATATATATATATACAAAATAAATCATTGCATAATTGTATTTTTTTTTTTTTTTGTTTTACTGATATATATTATTCAAAAGTTATAAATTATAAGTGTGGTATATTATTAATATTTAATTCTGGTGTTATATTATGAAAAAACTGATATCGTCAATTAAATATGTATAATTTGTGTTTTATCAAAATTAAATTAATAAATAAGTATTGTTTAATAATCATTAACCTAATATAAAAATAACAGTAAATTCGTATTATTTTAATGGTAAAATTATTGTGGTATTGTATTTACATAACTTTTTGTTGAAAATAGATGGATTAGGGGGAATGCCAACTATTATGCAGAGACCGTGTCAAATAACAAAATGTCATTTTGGTTTGGAGTTTGATGGAAAAGAGGTAGTAAATCTTTTGTTTTGTTTTAGCAAACATAACATTTTGTCATAATTTTGTAAAAAACGTGTTGAAAACTATTATTTCACAGATAATAATGATAAATTAACTCATTTCGTTGAAATATTTTTTACATTTTTATTTTACAATATATTGAATCGAATACATTTTTTAATAACAATTTTATCAACTAAAAATTAAATTTATTATGAATTTAGTTATTTGATTAAATTTTAGCTAATATAACTAAAATAAAATAAACAAAACGATTATTTGTGTACACACAAGTATTTATTAGATTTTGAATAGTTTTATTAGATTATTATTACGATTTATTTTGAATACTATAATGTTATAATATTTTGAATTTAATAATGATTATAAAAAATTATGCACTGATATTATATTTTATATTGTACTATGTCATTAAAAATGGCTTTGTACAATAATTAAATTAAATTTGTAAACAGTTTTATTAGATCGTATATTTTTCTTATTTAATATTCATTAATAGTGAAATTTATTGTTAAAAAATCTGAATAATTTGGTAAAAATAAAATAAAAAAATAAAATACAAAAGTGTGAAATATGTATTCATTTACCTGACAAAAAGTATTTTTAGTATAATTTAAATATATCAACCAAATAAAATGTAGTT